AAGCTTACAAATCTTGAACTTGGGCGGTGCAGAGAGCTCAAAACTCTTCCGGATATGCCATGTAATGTTGAATTCTTAGGTTTATCTAGGACAACAATAGAGGAATTGCCTTCATCAGTTTGGTCTCACGAAAAAATATCTGAGCTTGATATTAGATATTGTAGAGACCTTAAGAGTCTTCCAACCAGCAGTTGTAAGCCAAATGTGTCAGGTACTTTTAGTCTATGTGGCTGCAAATCTCTTTGCGAGTTTCCAGAGCTTCCCAGGAATACAACAGTGCTAGATTTGAGTAAGACAGGAATAAAAGAATTGCCGTCATCAATCAAGTTTGTCTTTGGTCTCACTACAATTAAACTGGTCGCTTGCAAAAGCCTTGTGAGTCTCCCAATGAACATTTGGAATTTGAAATCTTTGGAGAGCCTTGATCTCAGTCGTTGCTCTAACTTTCAACACTTGCCAAAAATCTCAGACCCTATGGAACATCTGGAGTTTCTAAATTTATCAGGTACAGCGGTTGAAGAGCTACTGCCATCAGTTGGAAATCTAGTTGCACTTAAATATTTAGTTCTCCACAAGTGCAAGAACCTTGAGGTTGTCCCAAACAGCATATACAATTTAAGCAATCTTAAAACTCTCTGGTTTAATGGCTGTTCGGAACTGAAGAAATTGCCTCCCGTCTCAGTGGACCGAGTCGGATTGGTATCTCTGGAAGCACTAAACCTCGCTAAGTGCAGTATACTAGAAATCCCTGATGGCCTTATCTGCTTAACCTCATTACAAGAGTTAAATCTGAGAGAGACCAACATTAAGAGCATACCTGCAAGCATCAAACACGCTGCTCACCTGTCTCACCTTTTCTTAACCGATTGCAAGAGCCTTGAATCTTTACCAGAGCTCCCCCCATTGTTGCAACGTCTTGAAGCACATGGTTGCACATCACTGAAGACAGTCTCAAGTTCAAGCACTGCACTCGCACAAGGTTGGGGCGAATATATATTTTATCCAGGGCTTCATGAGAAATATATATTTTCTAGTTGCACAAAGTTGGATCAGAATGCACGAAGCAACATAATGGTTGATGCACAGCTCAGAATTATGCGAATGGCAACTGCGTGGTCAAAGTTTAAAGAAGAAAAAATTGAACAAGCATCATACGATTCAGATGATGATTATGATTCAGATGATTATGATTCACAGGATTATGATTCAGATGATTATGATTCACAGGATTATGATTCAGAGGATGATGATATGATTAAGGTCTCTATTATATCTCTTTCTTTCTTTGTTTGTTTGTCTCTCTATCTACCTCACGCACAGAGTCTGTCTCACTCACTTCTGTGGAAAATTTTACACGAGTTTAATAACTAAGATGTCCATTCATGCTACAGGAAAATTTCGTTGCCATTAAATGTTGGGGGTATGAAATTCCAAATTGGTTCAGCCATCAAAGTGAGGGATCTTCAATAAACATCAAGCTTCCTCCTGATTGGTTTCGCACAGATTTCTTGGGTTTCGCTCTATCTCTTGTTATTGCATTCAACGAGGATGGCGCTGAATTCTTTATGACGATTGGTTGCAAGTGCAACTTCAAAACTAGTAATGGTGAAAGCCATGAAATCAACCATCCTTTGCATCCGTTTACGAATTTTGGAAGCTCAGAGCTCCATCAGGTGTATGTGTGGTGGTATAATAATGTATTTGAAGAAGTTGTAGAGGGAGCTCAAATCCCCACTGCGTTTTACAAACTTGTTACTGAGGTCTGTGTTGACTTCAGCGTACTGGGTTTTGCCAACAAACCCTATTCGGAGGAGGAGTTGGAGGTGGAAAAGTGTGGGATTTGTTTGTTATATGGCCAAGATGCTGAGAGCATAAAGAAGAGGATTTTGTAGCTAAAGCGATCATGAACTTTCAGCCCTAACTTCAATTTTTGTTTTTTGTTTTGAGGTGCAATATCATTTTTATTTGAGCTGTTAGACCATCTCCAACCTTTGGGGTGGAAACTCAAATTTTGAGTTTAGCCTCCCAAAATCATCTCCAACCCATGTATTTTGGGAGGTGAAAATTTGAGATGCCTCAAATTTGGACTGAAATTTCACCCAAAATTCTGCCTGGACTGGTAATTATGTGGGGCCCAATCTGTTTTAACATATAATTTTTTATTGTAGGAAAGCAGCAGCCCATGTGCCCAACTTTGTTTGCTGGCCCACTTTGACAAGTGGGAATCTTCATTCCTTTTCCAGTTTTGACAACCAACGGCTAGTTTTTCAAGTTTTTGTTATGCTTTTTTTTTTTATTTATAAATATTCCAACAGCTATAAAATCAACGATTCTGATTCATTTTAGGCAATCTCAACAGCAAAATTTTACATCTAACGGCTCAAATTTAAATCCAACGGTCAAATTAATATTTATAATTAATCTAAGTCAGATCCAACCCCAAAACTTATTCCAAACTCTATAAATAGTCATTCATTTGGTAAATAATCCACCAAAAATCATTTTTTTCCTTTCTCCCTTTGTTTTCCTTTCTCCCTTTGTTATAATTTTTCATTCTACATTCATTCTTGTTGAGAATGGCCCCAAAACCCCAAAGAGGTGTGAATTGGAAACCACAAGAAGATGAGGCATTATGTAGAGGGTGGGTTTCTGTATCTGAAGATGGAGAAAGTGAGGCATTTCTGTAAGGGAAAGTGAGATGAATAGAGATGAACAATGGCAAAGTGAGATGAATAGAGATGAACAATGGCAAAGTCAGATGAATAGAGATGAACAATGTCAAAGTCAGATGAATAGAGATGAACAATGGCAATGAACAATGACAAAGTCAGATGAATAGAGATGAACAATGGCAAAGTCAGATGAATAGTCACAAAAAATGGTTCAGAACGTGATTGAAACAACACAAGATGTGAAATGGTTCAGAACATTATTCAATGAGGATAAATGAATCCAATGAAGTAAAAGTAAAAGTAAAAATGGAAGAAAATTATTCCGGGCATACGTATGATGTTGTAATTGTTTTTATTTTTAAGTGAAATTCTATTATGTTTTGAAATTTTAATTTTTTTAGGTTAAAATGTTTAGAAAATTAAATCATGAGTATTGAAACAAAAATAATATCAAGAAAAATTAACAAGAAAAAAAAATTAGGGGTTAATCATTCTTAAACAATTTAATAAAGTTGCAGACTCAAATTATGAGTCTGCAAGGTTAGAGGAAAAAAAATTTTGAGTCCTGAAAATACATGAATAGTTGTATTTTGGAGGGTGAAAATTTGAGTTTAGCCCCA